GCTGAGCCATCTTGCCAGTCTGAAGTAGGTTCTTCTTGTGTACTCTAGGCTGACTTTCAACATTTGTTCTTCTCCTCAGGCTCCTGAGTGTTGGGATTGTAAGCCTGCACTATTCCCCCTGGCTTGGGAGGCATTATTAAGCTGCGATAGCTAGCAAGAACTATGCAGAAATTCTTGGAATTCTATGCAGAAATGACTTGGAATCACAGATAATATTTCCCACTAAATCCAAAGCAAATGGACAGCAGTTCTTCGTATCCATGAAGGATAACTTCCAGCGGATTCTGAATCTCCAGATAAAACAGACTCATTTTATTGATGTGCTCTTGTAAAAGTTATTTCAATCTTAGACATCATTTAATTTTATAATTTTGAATTTTTTGTTTTGGGGCCACAGTTGAGGGTGGGTAATTAGAACCACAGAATGTGAAACCACAAATAGGAAGAGACCAGTGTGTCTCTAAGTCAACTTATCAGCCAAATCTAGTGTCCCTGGTAGAGGGGGAGGATGATGAGCCAGGAGAGGAGGGGGAGGAGACCTCCTGTCTTAGCTGATTGTGATTGGCATAGCTTAGTTTTGTTAAATTGTACAAAGCTCTGTGTGTGCAAATTTGCTGCCAGGGCTCCTTTGTGGGTGAAAGGCTCACTCTAACAATGAACCTGACAATTCATCCTGCTTTGAACATTCAGCTTCTCATATTTGTTACTGTCAGTAGCCCTCCCTTCAGTCTGCTTCTGAGTATGACCCAAGGAGCTCGTGATCCACCTGTTCCTAGGGCCTGTCCTATGGACGATCCATCTCAAGGTCCAGTTGAAATTCTGAATAATCTTAGGTAATAGAACTGTTGTTAGTCGGTATCTGAAGTTCTTGATCCATTATGGGTTAGAGGTAGTTACACTGGGCATTTACCAAAGCTTATAGGTAACTGTGTGTTCATGGGACAGTGGGTTTACATGTCAGATGTCTTAACTCATACATGAACTATTCTGTAAACTGGAAAATGTCAGTATGACTTACAGGGTTAGAAGGAAAGGAAGCCAGTCCAGGCTGGCTTAGTCTCATTCGGTTGCTTTGGTTTGTAACTGTATTATATCTCACTTAGTCAAAGTGTCTCATCCACGTCAGTAGGGAACTTAGCATAGTAAGTAAGCAGCGTGTTGTGCGAGGATAGGTTGGCTGCAGCGTCACCTGTCTCTGTCTCTCCACTCCTGCATTGAACAGTAGCTTGTGAAAACTCAAATGTGGGTGATCGTCAGTTCTTATTTCCTAATGGTCATTGTTTTTACCTGTAGAGAATGTAGCCGGACTTAATCTTTCTTTCTAAGGCATTAAGATCTAATAGGTGGTATTTTAATCTCTCGGGGAATCACGAAGCCTGGGTTAGAAAGCACGACATGAATCAGTGCCAAGATCTGTGTGTACATTTGCAGCCCAGGTTTCTTCAGGCCAAGACAGACAGAAACTTGAGGGTAAGTTCCTCCTTCTGGGTCCCTCCCACCCTGTGGCTCCCCTCGTGTGTGTGTGTGTGTGTGTGTGTGTGTGTGTGTGTGTGTGTTGTTTAAAGATGTATTTTATTTTTACTTGTGTTTGTGTCTGTGTGAATGTATGCCACATGTAGGAGAGCACTTATGGAAACCAGAAGTCTGATCTCCTTGAAGTAGAGTTATAGCAATTAAAAGCCACCTAACATGGGTGCTGGGAACTGAACTCAGGTCCTCTGGAAGAGCACCAAGTGTTCTTAACTGCTGAGCCATCTCTCCAAAGAAACCAGCGTTAAATCAGTACATTGTTGGCTTATTCAGAGAGACTTCAGACATTAGGCAGAAATGACAGAGCAAGTTAGGATTTAGAGTTTAAGAAAGCAATTATGGTAGCACATACCTGTAACCCCACTCTGGAGGCTGACATAGGATGGTCAGGAGTTCAAGACCAGCCTCAGTTACATAGCAAGTCTGAGACCAGCTGGGGCTCCCTAATACTCTGTCTCAACAACAAAGAGGAATGCCTAGCATTATAATAATCATTCCTGTTTTCCGGTGTTTTCAAGATCTGCCATTAGTTCAGTCTTCAGAATTTTTAGAGTAAGCTGTGGTCTACGAAGTGAGGGGCCAAGTATTAAAGACCTGGACAATCTTGAGTTACAATGTTCAGGGGCTTTTTCCTATAGAAGCCAGAGATTCTTAACCTGTGGGTTGTAACCCCTTTGGCAAACATCTGTCTCCAAAAATATTTACATTATGATTTATAATAGTAGCAAAATTACAGTGATGAAATAGCAATGAAAGCAGTTTTATGTTTGGGAGTCTCCACAACATGAACTGTCTCAAAGGCTGCGGCCACTGATAGAAAATAGCAAACAGCACAGTGCTTTCACCATGCCAAGGTTTCAACTTTGGTTGGGTGTGCATGTGGAGTATGATCACACAGCAAGCTAGGTAAGAAGATACTCCTGAGCGGCACCGAGAGACGGCTGCTTGTGAGTGAGTGTGCGTGCCATAGCCTATAGGTTAGCAACAGAGCATCAGCTGATTGCTGGCTTTTGCCTGCTGTTCTTTTAGAGATTGACTTTGTTTGAAAACAGAACAGTCCCTGCCTGACCCTACACAAAACTAAAGTTTGTGCTGCCAGAAAAATGTGCGTCCTCCCCCAGTGTCTTCAGCACTTCTTGAGTCTGCTTCTGGGCTCGTTTGCGCTTTGAGGGTGCCCTCAGGTGGTAGCGTTTGGAACTGACACTGGATGCAGAGCCTCACTCTACTGCCGAGCCCTCCTTTGTGAGATAATTTTGCTGTTTCATTTAGGAAGCGAGGCTGTTTCAGATTAAGGGTTATGGGGAAGAGATGAGCTGACAAGAAGGAAGGCAGAGACCTGTCTGGAAGTTGGACCCCAGGCAGCCATTATATGTGCTATCCTTTTAATCCTGTCGTCCAAGTGTGTCCTCCTTTATCTCCAACCCTTCTACAAAAGCAGACAAACCCAGCAGTAATGCTAATGCATTATCAGCAATGCGTTTCTCAGAATAATGGCCTCAGAGCTGCAGCTTCCATAGGCAAATGTCCTCAAGCCACCAGAAAGGGATTTTCCTAAACAGATAGCCTTATGACTCAAAAATCCCCAGTGCTAGACAAGTAAAGACTCGATAAAATGCCTGTCTTTTCTCTGTCCTGTATCGACTAAAGGAAAAGTGCGATGCTACTCAAAGGAGAATGTCTAATTTAGACAATCATCAAAAAGTCACGGTCACATATTTTGTGGGTAAATTATTGCTGAATGTCTGTATGAGAGGTGTTTTACTGTTGTTTACAGTGATTTGGTTTGAGACGGGTTCTCACTGAATCGTCCAGGCTGACCTTGAGCTCACAATCCTCCTGCCTCAGCCTCCTGAGTGCTGGGATTGCGGCGTGTCCCAGCATCTCAGCTGTGTGACAGCTCCCTTTGTCTTTCCCACACTATAGCATGGGGCTGAAGTGAGGAGCAGGTGGACATCTTCAGAGTGTCGCCTGTCCTTCACTAGGGATGCTTTTGAGATGAAAACCACTTGTAGAAGTAACATGATTTTCAAGGAGACTTCTTTTAATTATATTTAATGGTATTTCAAAGGGAACAGCTGGCTTGGAAATTATAGTCATAACTTTTAACACATAGCAGATGATAATAATCAGCCTCTGTGATTCGAGTGAGGGACAGGAAAGATGAAGTAGTAAGATTACAGGCAGGGTGAGTGTTCTAAGGCTCAGTGCACTGGTTAGCGGTAGGTGGCAAAATTCTATACTGTCTCATAGTGAAGACAGAAGGCCATAACTAGTAGTTATATAATGATAGTGGTAGACAGACGGCAGGCGCTCCCTCCACTTATCTCAGCAGCGTTTTCTGAGGGCACTCAGAGAATTTTCATGAAATAGCCTCCATAATAGTTAATATAGTATCAGATACCAGACAACCATTGTGCAGTGTCCTTCCACCTCTACTGGGAGCACAGCGTCCTGCAGTCCAATACAATGATCCAGGTGTTTGAGACCACAAAGTCCAAGTTCTCTGTCTCTCTCTCAGTCTCCCTCCCTCTCTCTCCCCACCTCTGTGTGTGTGTGTGTGTGCACGTTCCATAGCACACGTATGGAGGCAGACAACAACTTCTAGGTGTTTGTTCTGCCCCCCCCCCCCCCCCCGTGGGTGCCGATGGTTGATCTCAGGTGGTCAGACTTTCACTTTAAGCTCTTTTACCCACTGAGCCATCGTGCCTGCCTGATGCCGGGAGTTTTGGCTACGCTTTCAGATCACAGACTTGTTTGGGAAGTGGATGGTGGCTCTGTACCCTTCTCTGACTACGCACACCTAGCCTTGCATTACATTTAAGGGAGTCACACATGTAGAGGGTCAGGATCTCTCCCTCCCGTCTTATCTCTGCCTCTCTCTCCATGGACTTCAGGCTAAGTCGTCGTCTCCCCCAGCCCAGGTCTCAAGTGGCAGCAGGGCCACTGCGTAGCTGTGGTAAGAGCCTAGAGCCCAGGATGCTTGTGCTGACAGGACACAGTCGTTGGCTTCCACAGGACATCATACGGAGGATGAGTGTGTCTGTAACACTTGATGAACTTAGCAAGACGTGCCTGAACACGAGGTGTCCCTCCGCCTTGGCAGGAATGTGCTCAGGAATGTGACTTCTGAGAGAACCACATTGAGAGGTTTCCTCTTTACACACAAGTGTGCTAGCTTTAGCCTAGAATAATTAATTGTGAAGTGGAGGTTACAAAGCACCATCCAAGCTACCTGCAGAAGTAAATTGCTGGTCTGGGAGTGTTTTGTGTTCTCAGTTAAGAGTTTGCAAAAGTTTTCATTTTAACTATCTGCAGCTTCTTGGTGAAATCTGTGTAGTTTGCCTTGGGAAGGAGGATGACTTTATTTGCTGTGGGGATTGCTTGTTACTGTGGAAGTTTCCTCTTTAGAAGTCCTGTTCATCAGGTGTGCCTGCCCAGTGTCTCACCGCTTGCCTTTTCTTCTGTTGCAGTGCGCTAATCTTGGGTGCGTCAGGTGGAGTTGGTACTTTTGCGATACAGGTAAAAGGATTTCTTAATCTTGTGACTAGGAAAATTTTTGTTTATTATATGAATTTATAAATTCATATATTATAAATTACTCTCCTCAAAAGCCGAGTCTGGTGTGCTGTCTAGTTTTGTTAACTTAACACCAACTATAGTTACCTGGGAAGAGGGAATATCTATCAAACCGGCTTATGAGCATGTTCATCGGGCATTTTTTGATTAATGGTCAATGTGGGAGGGCCAGCCCACTGTGGATGCTGCCACACCAGGACAGGTGGTCCTGAGTTGTATAAAGAAAGCAGGCTGACCAAGCCATGGAAACCCAGCCAGTGAGCAGCGCTCCTCCGTGGCCTCTGCTTCAGTGTGTGCCTTGAGTTTCTGCCCTGCCTTCCTCTCTAATGCACTGGCGTCTGTAAGGTGAGATACTGGACTCCCCAGATTGGGTTGGGTCAGTTTTAACACAGTAACAAAAAGCTCGGGCATCTAGGAAACGCCTTTTAATATCAGTGACCTGAATGAGCATACCTAATAATTAAAGGAGACACTAGCCTCTCCAGTAGTTTCACATGGAAAAGTTAAAACAGTTAAAGAGTAAAAACAATTGAGCGTGTGGAGCAAAGCCCTTTGGGAGGAAGACCATGGTGGTCGTAGAGACTAGTTTGCAGTAAGCAGCATATGCCAAAAGCTACTGCTGTTTGCAGTCAAGAATGTTGCAGGCTTTTTGTAGAAATTAATACGCTGATTCTAAACTATACAGGGAACTGCGGTAGCCAGAATATCATTTAAAAAGCTAGTGCACTTTCAAAGTGATCTGTGCATTCAGTGTAAAGCCAGTAAAAAGGTCAACTACCTTTTCTCCATATGTGGCAAGTTTATCCTGAAATGTACATACAATTGCAAGGTAACACACATAGCCAAATTTTTGAAAAGGAATAAAATTATTCCAGATTTCCAAACCTCAAACTTATTATTAAGCTAGAGTAATCAAATTATTGGGATAGTGGCATAAGATGGCTCGCTCTCCTCCTCCTCTCTCCTTCTGCCTCCCCCCCCCTTTGTGTGTGTGTGTGGAGGGAGGGAGGGATTGAGAGAGGGAGGGAAGGAGAGAGAGACAGACAGACAGATAGACAAAGAGAGACAGAGAGAGAGAGAGAGAGAGAGAGAGAGAGAGAGAGAGAGAGAGACCGAGCACATGATGGAAAAGAGTCAAATATCCGGAGACAGATCTATACGTATATAGTCAGATTGCTGTTTAAAGTGTCTGTGTCTGTGTGAGAGTGTGCCATGTGTGTACAGGTGTCCGATGTGAGAGTGTGCCATGTGTGTACAGGTGTCCGAGAGGCCAGAAGAGGCCATTAGACCCTGAGGTTGGAGTGACAGTGTTATGAGCTGGTGCCTGATGAAGGGTCCCGTGGGGGAGCAGCCAGAGCTTTTAACTTGGGAGCCGTGTCTCCAGCCCCATCACCTGATCTTTAACAAGGAATGGCAAAATCATTACGTGAGAGAAAGTGTCCTTCTAACAGATGATAAGACAATTTGATGTCCACATACAGAGGAAGCAAATTGGACCCACATGATACACAAAAATAATTCAAGGTGAATCAAAGATTAAACATAAGAGCACTAACCAGAAAACTTTTAGAAAAAACAGCTATAAATATTCATTACTTTAAATTTGGCAGCACATTCTTAGATGTGACACTAAAAATATAAGCAAGTAAGTTGAACTTTATCAAGTTAAAAATCTTGATACATCAAAGGGCACTATCAGGGAATGAGAAGAAAAGCAGCCCACGTGCCTTAGGCACGTTCCCTGTGCCTGTGACAGGAGAAAGGACCTGTTCTGGCTCACAGTCCCAGGATGCAGTCCACGTGTCAGGGGAGGCATGGCAGCAGTCTTGGGGCAGCCGATCTTACCCCTGCAGCCAGGAAGCAGAGAGCCATGGACGCTGGTGCTCAGCCAGCTCTCCTTTCTCTGCAGTCTGGGACCACAGCCCAGGAAACGGGGCTGCTCTCGAGACTCCCCACCTCAGTTATCTACCTGATGTAAATAATCCCTCACAGGCGTGCTCAGAGGCTTGTCCAGGCGAATTCAGATCCTGATAAGTTATCAGTTAGTATTAACCATCATACAATGGAGAGTATTTACAAGTTATTAATCCAAAATGGGTTTGATCTCCATACTACAGAACCCATGCTTGAACAACAAAAAGACAGTACCACTTTTAAACCAGAAAAGGTGCCAACCGTGGTGGTAAATGCTTGTAATCCAGCACTTGGAAGGTTGAGACAGGAGATCTTTATATGGCCCAGCCAAGGCTACATAGTGAGATCCTGTGTTAAGGAAACAAAGCACAATGAAGCACATTATTACTTACAGTTAAGTACACTAATAAAAAACTTGAGAAAAGGGCTGGAGAGATGGCTCAGCGGTTAAGAGCACACCGTCTGCTCTTCCAGAGGTCCTGAGTTCAATACCCAGCAACCACATGGTGGCTCACAACCATCTGTGATGGGACCTGATGCCCTCTTCTGGTGTGTGTGAAGAGAGCTACACTGTACTTCTATACATGAAATAAATAAATAGATAAATAAATAAATCTTTAAAAAACAACAACAACAACAAAAAAAAAAAACCATGGGAAAAACTGAGTAGACTATTGTCTATGGCCTGTAAGTTTCTGAGAAGCCGCCGAACGTTCCTCCTTTGGGAACTATCACTCAAAACTACGATGAGATTGTGTTGAGCACAGCAGGAAGGTCCTTGTCTCCACAGATCTCCAGAGAAGCCAGGAGTGTTAAGCACACAGGATTGTCTTTCTAATAGGAAAGTGAAAGACCTGTTTTTCCACAGAAAGCAGAGAACTGGAAGTGGTTAACAGCCTGGTGATCTGTTATCTGTTGGCCAGGCCGTATCAAGCTCCTACAGCCAGGACCAACGGTGGCTGTGACTGGTGATCTAAATGACCCTTACTGCCAGGGAGTCCCCCAGCTCCACAGCCTAGGAGTCTAAATGACCCTTTGTTATCTGGGTGCTGCACACACGGCCTACACTCACGTGTCCACAGACGTGTACCTACATCTAGAGAATCTTTTAGTTTTCTGTTGTGAAATATAACTCAAAAGAAGTATAAGTGATAGAAATGTATAGTCAACAATTATCACAAAGCAAACATGACAGGCATGAGCTGTATTCTAATCAGTAGATATTCTGGAGAAGGGTTCTAGGGATTGGACTCAGCCTCGGCATGCCGAGCTCTGCCCCCACCGCAGTCAGTCCTCAGCCTCAGTCTCCTACTGAATGTGGTTGCGTGTATAGATGTGGGAAACTTCTTTCATGGAGGACGCAGAGCCTCTTAGAGAAGTGGGACGTCACAGAGGGAGCGCAGTGTGGGAGTGAGCACAGTGGGGACACTGTCAAACAGTGTCGGAGTTGGGAGCCATCTTACAGACTGCCAAAGATGTGACAGTTTCAGCTTCTGTAAAGATAATTATGGTAGCCTGAGTCCATATAGAGACATTTAAATTCATAAGTTTATAATTTTTTCAAAAAGTAATTAATTTTGGAATGTTATGAGGAATAAGTTATAAATTGATAAAGGGAAATAAATATTCCTCTCATCACATCACTCCCATTTTATATGAAATGTATGACTGACCATATCATATTTGAAGGGAGGCATCCCTGAAAAGGGATGGCATTTGAACATCTCTACTTGACAGTCCTCAGTGGATAGACATATGTCCTGAGCCTGGCAGCCTGCTGAAGTCTCTAGCCTTGTCAAATACCGTGCAGGGTTTTCTATAGAGATTGAAACCCAGCCTTGTCCAGTCTTCAGAACGCAGAGGACACAGCACCATGCAGAACCGACCTCTGTGCAGTCAGAAGCTCCACACTATAGAGCAGCTCTGCAGGTCAAATGGCCTAGATTCTTCCATGATAAATTATAAGAGAACAAAGAGATAGAACAGTATCCTGTGATTGAGAAGAGGCTTTTCCCCTACAGTTTAAAAATGATCACAACCAAATTAATTATGCCTCAGGAGTGAATATTTGGATGACATTTTTAAAATTCTAGGAATTGATTACTGTAAAAAATCAAGATAAAGGTGACTTAAAAAGGAGATATTTGAAAAAAAAAAAGATATTTGGAAGAGGGCTGTGTACTGAGACAGGACACAAGAAAAACCTTTGGCTCCTAGTGTTCTGTTTCTTTATCCAAGTTGTATCTGCCTTCTACGAACTTTCCGTATTCAAACTTCGTTTGACATGAAAACTTCCTCACTAAACTTCTTAGTAAAGAAAACTAGTTAGTGCAGTGGGTTAGGAGAAGCTAGGTGTTAAGGGACAAAGATCTGAACTGTTAGATCGTCTTCCTGAGCAGTTACTGCTGTTTAAACAGAACAGGGGGCAGGCTGGCTGGCTCGGCCATTTGGAGTGTTGGCTGCTCTTCATAGACTGGGGGTTGTTTCCCTGCACCCTCATGGCAGCTCACAATTGTCTGTAACTCCAGTCTCAGGGTCCAGTGCACCTTCTGGTCTGTGTGGGCAGCAGGTATGGGTGTGATACACACATGGCAAGCATTCATATGTATAAAACAAGTACAAATAAATCCTTAAGAAGATGCAGTATCTGCACTATTAGCACATTTCCTTTTCCTCGGCAATGTCTCGTGTAGATTTTGGGGAAAGGGTGGCCATGATGAGTTTTCATTAGATTCCACACCTCACGTATTTGACTCTGGACTTGCTGTTGAGAGCAACAGATTCATTTACTCATGAGGCCCTGTCTACAACCCACACACATAAAAATTATATGTTAGAGTTCCTAAGCGGCTCAGTTTCCTCAGATTTTCAGGTTATATGAATCCTTGGGAGATATTTTTGTTGTTGTTGACTTGAGATAGGATCTCATGCATCGTAGGCTGACCCTAAATACCCTGTATAGTTAAGGATGACCTGGAATTTCTGATCCTTTGACTCTGTACCCCAAAGTATTGGGATTGCATGTGTATGTCACCATACTTACTTTGATCCATAACTATTAATATCAAAATTTCTTGATAGATTTCAAGTATCTTGCCTGCTAATAGACTGAAACTCGTCAGTCCCCTGACAGCTCTGTGAACCTGATATCATAGAGAAAGTATATCAGATATGGAGGGCAATTTCAGATACTTAAAGCTGAATAACATTACAGTTATGTATTCTTTTATTTAAGTATATCTTTAACTATGCTGTATGCATTTTAAAAACATTTATCTAGACCTTCTTACTCTTAAGGGAGAGGACCCAATTCATGTTATAAAGCTAAAGTGTCCATATTTTCTTAGTTATCTAGCATCTGAGAGCTGACTGCTGTGTGTTTGTGGGTGTGCATCTGCGTGTGCATGCATGCGGAGGCCAGAGCTGACACTGTCTCTTCCATCACTCACCGTTTGTACTTAAGGCAGTGTCTGCTACTTGAACCTGGAACTCATTGATTTTGCTAGACTAGCTGGCTGAAAAGCTCCAGGGATATTGCTATCTCTGCCTCCCCAGCACTGGCTCTATGGGCATATACTACAGTGCCTGACCTTTTACATGGGTGCTGGGGATCTGAACTCAGGTGTTTGTGCTTGTCTAGCAGGCACTGTGCCATCTGGTTGTCATCGCAGCCCCAGATGTGCTGCCTGACTCCACACAATCTGGTTATGCAGATGAAGAGGAGTCGCAATTTTGTGTTCCGGGTGCTTGTCAGATAGGAAGTGTGTGGACATGTGCTTTCTCTTTTCTCTGCCGTTTGCCCTTTAGCATTGAAGGTGTGAAAGCTGAAGCTTGTGATTCTCCTGTTTTCTCTGATCCTAGTAGGGCACGTCATAAACATCAAGCCTGAGGTCTAGTGGGTTATCTTGACAAACATTTGTACCATAGCTAGCAGGTAGCGTCCTGGAGTTCTAGTTAAGGGGGGACTTAAAAGTTCTCTAGAGATTACACTCAGATGAGTGTACACCAGGGACCAGTGTTTTCTTTTTAAAAATGCAGTGTTTTCTCTTTACCCTCTTCTCTCCCTCCCCTTGGCAGGTAATGAAAGTATGGGGTGCCCATGTGACGGCAGTTTGCTCGAAAGATGCCAGCGAGCTTGTAAGGAAGCTCGGAGCAGACGAAGTCATTGATTACACGCTGGGAAGTGTGGAAGAGCAACTGAAGTCTCTAAAACTGTAAGTCGTAGAGCAGTGTCCTGTGGGGACGGAGGCACAGGACCGCTGAGTGTGCAGGTCTGGGGGATTGGTAGCTTCTGGTCATGTTGCAGTCTTTTAGAAGAGTCTAAAAGCATTCCTGTCCTTTGGATTCATTCTACATAGTATGTACTTTGGAAGTTACTTTTTATCCACGGTCTGATGGATGGATGAACCAGCTTTTGTCGCTGGCTTATAAGAAGTCTGAAGGCAGTACTGAGAAGTGCAGTCCTTCTGTGGCATCATGACAGGAAGAACAGAGAGGCGGACATAAACCACATGATTACTACTAAACACAGTCTCAGTGTTTCGGCCCAGTGAGGACATAAGAAAGAAACAGTATGAGAAGAAATGCTGGCAGGAGCAGTGTGGTGTGTGCCGAATGCCAGAAAGCCCGCCTGTGGTTTGGCCTAAGATACCAGATAGGGCGGACCTGGGAACTCTCTCAAGCCCTGTTGCTCTTGCCTGTGGTCTGTCTGATAAACTGAAGCTGAAGCTACAGCTCACAAGTATTTGGCTACAATTTCAGAGGTTCTTCTTTCTTTTTAAAAAAGTCCATTTATAGAAGCCAATTATTTTTGGCCATACTGACTAGAAGTCTAATTTTAAAGGTTGAGAGCAAAACAAGATGCTCCCCTCTGCACTGCTCCCTTCTGTAGTGCTCCCCTCTGCAGTGCTCCCCTCTGCAGCACTCCCCTCTGCAGTGCTCCCAGAGCAGCCAGCTAACGCTTTATGCATTCTGCCCTTTATGAAGCTTCACTGGTTGCCAGGCACTGTTCTAGACACAGACATACCTACCTCCTCCTTCATAGAGTGAACGCTCCATTTGCAGGATTTTAGTGACTAGTGCTTGCCTTAGTCAGGGTTACTGTTGCTGTGGAGGAACACCATGACCAAAGCAACTTGGGGAGAAAAGGACTTATTTGGCTTACACTACATCACTGTTCTTCATCAAAGTTAAGTCAGGACAGGAACTCAAACAGGGCAGGAACCTGGAGGCAGAGGCTCTGGGGGAGTGTGCTTACGAGCAGTCACTAATTAAGAAAATGCCCTCTGGGCCCACCTACAACCCAGTCTCTGTAGGGATTTTCTCAGTGGAGTGTCCCTCTTCTCTGATTATTCTAGCTCGTGTAAAGTCGACCTAAGACTAGCCAACACACACAGACTCCTTGTCAGCTTGATACACAGACATACCACTGACAAGATACAGCCTTTCCTTTCTCATTGTCCCCAATATCACATTAATAAAGATATCACAATATAAAACATTTTACAAACTATTGAAAAGTCTCAGCTTTACAAATTCAAACACTTTGAAAGTTGTCTCTTTAAAAATACCTAGTCTCTTAAAATCTAAAAGTTCGTAAAATTCCAACCCTCCTCCTCCTCCTCCTCCTCCTCCTCCTCCTCCTCCTCCTCCTCCTCCTTCTTCTCTCTCTCTCTCTCTCTCTCTCTCTCTCTCTCTCTCTCTCTCTCTCAGGGGCTTGGGTCACTGCTTTGGCCCCACCGTCTGCAGCACACACACTTGTCTCTTCTAAGCTGGGCAGGATCCAGTCCACTGCTGCTGCTGGTCTTGGTGCTCATGCCATGGTCCTGGCATCCCCAAACTGCCGGGTGCTCTGCTGCAGCTGGGCTGCACATTCACCAGTAGCCTTTCCTGTACTTTCTTCACGGTGCTGAGCCTCAGCTTCTCTTTATGACTCCTCAGTCCTGGGCCTTCATCTGCTACTGAGGCTGCGTCTTCACCGATGGCCTCCCATGGCCTCTCACAGTGCTAAGCCTCAGCTGCTCTCCATGACACCTTCATGCCTTCAAAACCAGTACCACCTGGGTGACTGTTGCATATTATAAAGTTTGGCTGCCAGCGTGAGGTATGACTGTGGCCACTTCAAACATGGCATCTGTGGGCTGACTCTGAGGAAATATTTCCTAAAGTATTTCACTTCAGTGATGGTGGTCTCTTCTTAGTCAGTGCTAATAGCTTAGCTCTATTGACCGGCATCAGTTGTCCCAGTGAAGCAAAGGTTTTACTTCAGAGGTTCTGGTCTCTTTTTAATCACAGCCTATATTCTTCAGCTTTGATTCTCAGTTCAAAATAGCAGATAGCCATGACAGAGTCTTTAAGGGATTCTCGGACTTCCCTCTAGAACTTCACAAGCCAGGCCCCATCGTCTGCATTGCTTTCAACATCTTTTCTCCCAGGCTTCCAAAGAACAGTTCACCAAGCTTTGAACACCCAATGGCTTTTCTCACCCAAAGTCCCAAAATCCTTCCACAAGCCCTGCCCAAAGCAGCATGGTAAGGTCTGTCACAGCCATACTTCACGATCCTGGTACCAGTTTGTCCTAGTTAGACTTTCTATTGCTGTGGTGAAACATCATGATCAATGTAACCTGAGGAAGAAAGGGTTTATTTGGGTTATGTCTCCATATCACTGTTCATCATTGAAGAAAGTCAGGATAGTGTAGAAGTTAGGTCTGGTGCTACCTCCCAGCCCAGTGTTCCCAGAAAAAGACTCAGACTCAAAATATATTTATAAATACCTTGGCCATATACGTAGGCTCTTGTCTGACTAGATCATAACTAAAGATAACCCATTTACTCTAGTCTACATTCTGCCACATGGCTCAGGTTCCATGCATCCATCTAGGTACGGCTTCCCCTGGGAATCTTCCACACCTCTCTTCCCTATCAATCACTAATTAAGAAAATGCCCTATAGGCTTGCCTACAGCTGATCTTATGGAGGCATTTTCTCAGTCGAGCTGCTTTCCTCTCTGATGACACTAGCTGTGTCTGTCCAGCATGGTACTGTGTGGAACACTGAATCGGGGAAAGGGAGAACAACTGACTAGGGAGGGGGTGGTCACAGTGGGCAGAAAAAGAATCTGCAGAGGCTTCAGTTAAGCTGCTCTTGTTCTTGACTTCTGTCTCCACCTGGTGCTATATAGTATTTGATTCATTGTGTGTGTGCATGCGCGTTCATTCATTCATGGGCCTAGGTGGAGGACAGAAGAGGGTGTCATATATTCCCCTCTGTCACTTTCCACCTGTTCCTTTGAGGCAGGATCTCTCCCTCCACCTGGGATTCATGTTTTCTTGGCTAGACTGTAAGCCAGCAAGCACTAGTGATCTTCCTGCTTGAACCAGATGCTATCCTGTTAAACAGTGCTGGAATCCAAACTCTGTCCTCAGGATGGTGTAGCAAATACTCTTAAGCACCAGACCATCTCTCAAGCTCTTTCTTTAATTATTGAGGGAATCTAGAAGAACGGTTGTTCTTTTTTGAAGCAAAAGTACATGTGAAGCTCCTGTGTCAAGAACATATGTAATGTGATTGAGAAATCAGAGCTAAGTATCTGAGTGTCAGGGTAAATCATGAACCATGGTCTCTAAGGATTGGCTTCTGGATAGCGGTAGTTTAAGTTGATCTCCTATTTTCTGCTGTTGGTAAGACCAGCATGACCCAAAGGCCATAGCCAACCTGTTCTCCTCTGTTGGCCTTTAATTGTATCTATGTTTGTGATTCATTTCCAGAAGAGAACCCGACAGCCAGAATGCTGAGGGACACTTAGTCTGGCCTCTCAGATCAGTGTGACAGTCCCCTCAGCTTCTCTGGCAAGAGCATTGCTGGTTGTACTTTTCCAGTAGGGGCTTTTTTGGCTTATAAATGCAGGCCTTTACCTTTCCTTCCTCCTCTATCCTTCCTTCCCCTCCCTCTTCTTATCTCTTTCTTTCCTCTTTCTTCCTCTTCCTTCAATAATGTCTTTTCTGTTGCTGTGAAGAGACACCATGACCAAGGCAACATATAAACCAAAGCATTTAATTACATCAACAACCATATGTGTGTGTGTGTGTGTGTGTGGAGAGAGAGAGAGAGAGAGAGAGAGAGAGAGAGAGAGAGAGAGAGAGAACGCATTCACTAACTGGGAATGGCGTGGGCTTTTGAAACCTCAAAGCTCACCCCCAGTGGTATATCTCCATTAAGGCCACACCTCCTAATTGGTCCCCAAAATTCCAACCAACTGGGAACAAATCATTGAAATATATGAGCATGCTGGGGCCATTGTCATTCAAACCAGCACAGACAGCTTAGTTGAAGTTAATCCTTACAATTATAACCTCTGTCTAGAGGTTGAACTCTGACTCTGTCTGTAGTAAACTTGTGACTTCTCCAAGTAGCAACTTTCTTGATACTTGAATCTTAGAAATTTTACAGCAAGAGATTGAACTCTCTTTCTAATCCAATTATACCGTGGTCGAGAAAGCAGAGGTGGGGCCTTATGGATGTTTTGTTAGCTTAAGGTCATGCCATTAATCAATCATTCCTGGCATAACTGAGCCTACAGCGTGTCTCCAGGCTTCTTTTCAGTTTGCCCATTTCACAACAGCAGTTTTAAGTTTACCACAGCTTCAGTAGCATCATACAATGCATTAGGAACAGAGTGGACACTCTCCGAATGAGAGGCGTGGTCCTCTGGTAAGGTCACTCCTGCCTTGCACAGCCTTTAATTTTTGTGTCTGTAGTTGAATCCCATGAAAGACTTAGTACTCTTGAAGCTGGCCAGAGCCAGTTTAGAAGCTTTGATGTTTGACTTCCTCCAGATCAATTTGGAAGGGAAAACTTTACCCAAGAGGAATTCTCAGTTGATTTGTTTAGTTTATACACACACATTTTCTAAACAGAACTTTGGTTTTGAAAGTACTTAAAAGCTTTCATGGTTTTCTCTCCCTTCTGAGCATGGTTTAATGATTACAGCAGTGTTAGGTTAGATTTAGAGATCTGAATATCTGTCAGTTCTGTGAAATCTATTATGTCACTCTGGGGTTGGAGCACGTCAGAGTAACGCTGAAGGCTGAGAGGAGGGTGTTGGTTTTTCTCTTTTCTTTCTTTTTATTCTTTTGTGCATTATCTTGATGCTATATATAAAACATACAAAAAGAACATTCCAGAAGATAAAGAGGACACATTTCTAATGAGTCATTTTTACGGGCAAACACTTTGAGTTTGAGTATACTTCTCTTTCAAGTAGTCATGTATACTGAAAAACACACTGCTGCTATTGGAACCCGGCTCTGTGGTCTTCACAGTGATGGCAGGGTCCCTCAGGCCAGACAGCCTCAGCTCTTCAGGGACTGTGTGGGACCCAGATCACCTGGCTCAGACCCACTTGCTTAAGGGGCATCTGCCCCTCCGTGGGAAGTACAGTGCACATGGTTTGTGAGCTGTCACTGAATACCCCGTGTAGCCAGCTGCAAATGGACTAGAGAGGATCCGTGTCCTGAGTAGACTGGCGGAGTGTTTCTATTTAATCCTTTCCCTCCAGGTTTGACTTTATCCTTGATAATGTTGGTGGATCTACTGAAACATGGGCTCTCAATTTTCTCAAGAAGTGGTCAGGAGCCACCTATGTGACTCTGGTGACTCCTTTCCTCCTGAACATGGACCGACTGGGCATTGCTGATGGCATGTTGCAGACCGGAGTCACCGTGGGTACAAAGGCATTGAAGGTAGGAAGGCAATCCTGATTGGTGGGAGTCAACAGGGGCCTGTTGGTTTGCCACTTGGCCCCTCTTCTCTCAGAGCCAGCCGACCACAGGGGCTGCCAGCATGCTCTCTGGACTCAAACAGCTGGGTTCAGATTCTGACCTCTGTGTAGTAACTGTGTGACCCTGAGCATGTTCCTTACTGTTTTTAAGCCCAGTGTCTGCCCATAAGGTGAGGTTGCTAATCTATGTACTTTACTGTGTTCTGTGAGCACTGACTAAGACAGTCCACATGACGAGCGTAGCACAAGACCCTGGACAGAAAGGCTTTTATTCATGCAGTCTGGTGAACTGTTATTACTTCTCTTGATTCCATGGGATACACCTTCTGCTTCCTTCCTGCCTGTACCTAAAGCTTTGCTTTCTCAGCAGCCTGAGAGCATGCGCAGCCTTGTACATAAAGGCAGAGACTTTACCGAGGCAGTTTCTGGCTGCCGCACTCATGGCAACAGTGGGATATATGTCTGGTTCCCAGGCAGAGGCCCTCGAACCTTTAGAGGTCTGTGGGGTACACAGCCTTAAGGACATTGTTGTTTTACTTCAGCAGCTGTGAAGGCTGACAGTCTCCTGCCTTTGCTGGCATTGTCTCTCCTGTCCCCACACTGCTTGTCTCTAGTGAATTACTGTTGGCGTGACGGGAGGTTGGGGGACTTTAGGTCAGTCAGGTTGACTGTATCGACAGGTCACTATGTCTTGGAATGTGTGATGCTCTAACGGCCAAACTGAATGCCTCCAGGGAGTGGTAGGCCTTGGAAATCAGTGCACATCACCTCTGCTACAGGAATGAGAGTAGGGCTTAAGTGTCCCTCTCTACTGAATGCCGTTACTTCTTGTCACCACAGAGGGTACAGAGGCTGATAAAATTTCAAGTTGTAAATTAGGGTAATTCTAGGGTATTGAATTAGAGGTGAAATGGTATACATGATAAAAGAAAATGAAGATAAAGATAAATTTTTTTTGCTTTTTTTTTGAGACAGGGTTTCTGTGTAGTCCTTGTTGTCTTGGAACTCACTCTATAGACCAGGCTGGCCTTGAACTCCTAGAGGTCTATCTTAAAGATGTGTGCCACCACCACCCAGAATGTTATTTTCTTAATTAGACTAGATAGTTCAGATTCAAGGCCCTCAAAGTAAAAGCTTGTTCATGGGTGGACTTAGCCAGCTTCACCGTGTGGACTTAGCCAGCTTCACCGTGTGGACTTAGCCAGCTTCACCGTGTGGACTTAGCCGGCTTTACCGTGTGGAGTTAGCCGGCTTCACCGTGTGGACTTAGCCGACTTCACTGTGTGGCTGGTTTTAGCTTTCTTCCCTTTCCTTCTATTGTTTTCTTTTCATTTTTCTGCATGTTTTTTTTAATGAGTTGCTAGAGATTGAACTTGGCCTCACCCATGTTGAGCAAGAAGTGCCATTGAGTCACACCCTGGCCCTTGAGATGGCTTTTTTGTTTTGTTTTCTTTTTAGATGGGGTTTCATTATGGAAGCTAGGCTTACCTGAAACTTGTGATCCTCCTGCCTCCACCTCCTAAGTGCTTGGATGGCAGATGTGAGCCACTGTGCTCAGCCTTTAGCTGCTACTTTCTAACAGTTATTATCTGTATCTTATGTGTGTGTGTATTTCCTGCATGTATGTATGTATACTGTGTGTATCCCCATTGCCGTTAGAGACGAGAGGAGAAGGCTGGTCGATCTCTTGGGACTGGTGTTGAGGACGATCGTAAGCTACCATGTCGGTATTGGGAACCAGAGCCAGACCCTCTGCCAGGACAGCGAGTGCTGAGCCAGCTCTAGCCCTCTTTAGTTATGCTAAAGATAAACGTGGGCACCATTTAGATTTAGAAATTAAGACTTTGGTTTCTTAAATTCCAAGGACTCACCTTGTTAGAGGTAGTACAGAGTGACAAGATGACTCGTTAACCTGACACATGCACGGTGCAGAGGTGAACAGAGTGGTCGCTGAGTTACTTCCCTTCATTCAGACCCTGTCCAGAAGCAATTTAAGGAAAACCATAAGTAGCTGTTGGCAGAGAAGGAATCTTAACTGTTCTTTGTTTCAAAACTTGGATTTCCAGACTTTAAAAGGCAAGCTTAGCCTGTGTGTAAGACTTCATAGTTACATGGAAAGACCTTATAAATTAACCTCCAAAGTTGTCCTTTGAGAGCGCAGCGACTCCTCTCTCTCTCTCTCTCCCCTCTCACTGGAAAGATGATAGTTCTCAGTGTCCTAAAAGCGCACGGTTAATGCCTGATCGTCACACTTCTAACTCTGACCTGCTCTGCTTTACCTTCTCAGCCGCAGTGGCCTGGGAAGACCCATGCAGACATCTTCTAGCAGAACATGAAACTGTGCTGTTGCAAATCAAGTGGTTGGCTTTGCAGAGGAACGTGTTGTGAGGGGCTTCAGATGTGGCAGTTGTGACCATTTTAGTTCCATTTTATTACCTTGAACAGTTACCAGAATGTTTTCACTGTGGTCCCGGAAGCCATGGCAGACCTTAGGAGAATCAGCTGAACAGGTCTCCTGTGGTTGTCATTTACTGGGTAGGCCTTGTGCTGAGGACAGCTTGGCATATCAGTGACTAGCTATATACACTGAGACAGAGCCTTTAACTGTTAGCTTTTTCATGACCTGTGCATTCGGTTGTATGACTCCATGTGTGGACATGACCCGCAGCGTAGGAAGCCCTGCTCTAGAACAGCTGTGATCAGATAGACTCCCTGTCCTCCTTGGTCGCATGGCAGAGCCTGAGCTGAGGGACTTTGCAGTTGCTTGTAGGAGCAGGTAGGGCAGCGCTGTGGTACTGAGTGTCCTTGTCCACCTCTGAGGACTCAGGTCACACAGAGATGTCTGAGAGCTTGGCTTACCTCACCTTGATAGTGTTTCCCTCAGCTCCTGCATAAAGGCAGCACTGTTCGAATGTAGCATGGGCCGCACGATGAGACCCTGTCTCAACGGTGAAAAGAATGACAGTTGTAAGTGGGCACACAGGTGGAGTGGAATCTTCTCTGTGTAGGAGTTTTGTCCATCTTTATCTTGAGAGGTTTTGCTCCATAAAGATTAGATGGCTTGGCACTTACAAGAACTACCATGGGTAGACCCAGCCATGATATAAAAACAATTTTACACTCTTTCTTTGAAGCTTCTTTACTCCTTTCAGAGTTAGGAACAGAAAACAACTTTTATTGACTATTGTTCCTAAAGCAGTTTTAAATGTAATAAGTCTCTTTTTGGCTTCCTGAAAACTTCAGTGGGGAATGCCTGGGGCTCTGGGCCCTAATTTCTTGTAGGTCAGCAGTTCTGTGCATGGGACTATTTGGACTATCATTGAAGGAAAGTTTTCCCATGTCGGTCATACAGGAAGACACCTGAGTTTACATGGACACGTCCTGCTCATTTGCTTATTCCATATATGGTATGGAATATCTGCTCTCCATCAGTCTCCAGGCCAAGGTCCTGGGCATACAATCACATGTCAGTGTGAAACAGGAAATAGGTTCATCTGTCTTAGCCACGCAGGAAATGTCTTTTGTTAGCAGCAGTTGGCCAGGTCTTCTTTTCTATACACTTACCATGATTATTTTCTTCCCTTTAGCATCTCTGGCAAGGAGTTCATTACAGATGGGCCTTCTTCATGGCCAGTGGCCCATATCTAGATGAAATTGCAGAACTGGTGGATGCAGGAAAGGTAGGTCCGCCCAGAAACCCTTTCTTGGTAACTTTGCGTTGGTGGCACTCCTCCTGTAGACTGTCCCCTAGGCCACATCCCTGGGAACACCGCAGGAGGAGGGAGGGAGCTGTGTGTTGTTTCTGTTACCATGGGGTTCGTGGAGAGCCCACTCTGTGTGCATAGTAACTCACCCTGTTTAGTCTCCCCCCGTGGTTTATACGTCAAGGGACAAGCCAGGGAAGGCCATTAGATGATGCTCTTCAGTTCTTAAAGGTGCATAGTTCGCAAGTAGCAGAGCTGGGATCTGAGCTGGGTGGTTAGTATTTTGGTGATGATATTTGAAAGATGGCACCCTCTGCACAAAGAGGAGAGGGTGCCTGCAGGTTCTCAACTCCTGGAGCTGTCTCAGTGATGGTGAGGCTGCCCTGGAGGGAGGCCTTTCCAGGGAAGAGGGAGAGCAGTATTGGATTTAAATCCCCATACCTGGGTGAGATGTAGTTCCCCAGTTTCCAGTCCAAGGTTAGTGTGTTCTAAACATAGACACAATTCAGAAGAGTGCAAGCACCAGCAAGGACGAGCCTGAGCAGAGACAACCACTGCTCCTCTTGCTGCTGCTGCCTGGCCTGGAGGGACTTCATGGAAAACGAATGTTGCAATTTCATCCTGTTGACGGTGTCCTTTGCCTTACAGAAGCTTTTCAGTTTCAGGAGATCCCTTTTATCAATTGTTGACTTAGAATCTAAGCTCTCAGTGTTCTTTCTGTTCAGGAAATTTCCCCTGTGCTAGTGCATTTGAGGCTTTCCTCCACTTTCTCTTCTATTAGACTCTGTGTATCTGGTTCTATTTTGAAGTCCTTGATCCACTTGGACTTGAGCTTTGTACAAGGAGATAAGACTGGATCAATGCGGATTCTTCTACATGCCGACCTCCAGTTGAACTAGCACCATTTGTTGAAAATGCTGTCCTTTTTCCACTGGATGATTTTAGCTCCTTTGTCAAAGATCAAGTGACCATAGGTGTGTGGATTCATTTCTGGGTCTTCAGTTCTATTCCACTGATCTTCTTGTCTGTGTCAGTACCAATACCATACAGTTTTTATCACTATTGCTCTGTAGTACAGCTTGAGGTCAGGGATGATGATTTTCCTAGACTTTTTTTATTGAGAATTGTTTTGGCTATCCTGGGTTTTATGTTTTTCCATATGAAGTTGAGGATTGCTCTTTCCATGTCTGTGAAGAATTGAGTTGGGATTTTGATGGAGATTGCATTGAATTTGTAGATTGCCTTTGGTAAGGTGGCCATGTTTACTTTGTTAATCCTACCAATCCATGAGCATGGGAAATCTTTCCATTTTCTGAGGTCTTAATCGATTTCTTTCTTCAGGGACTTGAAATTCTCATACAGATCTTTTACTTGCTTGGTTAGAGTTACACCAAGATATTATTACACCAAGATTTATATTATTTGTGGTTATTATGAAGGCTGCTGTTTCCCTAATTTCTTTCTCAGCCCATTTATCATTTGTATAAAGGAAGGCTACTGATTTTTTTGAGCTAATTTTATATCTAGCCACTTTGCTGAAGTTGTTTATCAGAGGTGAAGGGGAAGGGGATGGAGGATAAGGGGAAGAACTCTTCGAGTGGGAGCTGGGAGGGGGAGTAACATTTAGAATGTAAATAAATAAAATAATTAATTAGTTAAAAAAAATGAATGTTGCTGAGAGTTTTACTTCTCCCCTTAGGGGTATTGAGTCTTTTCAGGGCTGCCCAGATACCACCTTCAGTGGGTTGTTGTTGTTGTTGTTGTTTTATTCACTCATACAATAAATACATCCTGACTGCAGCTTCCCCTCCCTCTGCTGTTCGGTGCCCCTACCTCTCCTCGTCCCTGGATCCTGAGTGGCTACTTTTCAGACATTTAGGCTTGTTTGTTCAATTCTGTTGTAGCCAAGGGACTGTATATGTGGTCCATGATAGCCTGCATTAGCAGGAACTACTTTGGGGTTCAATTTTTGAACCTTGTCATGGACGTCTCAGGGTTGGTGTGTCCTGAGTAGAAACAGCCTTGCATTTTGTATGTATAGGACTCTCCCACATCCCACTCTTTGCTTTGCTTTACTCTTACCAAGAAAGGAACCATTGCTCAATACATGAGTGTCAGAGCCCCATAATCGCAGAGGACTCTGTCCCCAAGGCCTGCGTGAATGCTGGTGTTTGTCCTGATGACTGCTCACGATGCCCACATGCTTGTCATGTTCTCTTGTATTCAAAATATCAGGACTTTGTCTCTACTTGGAAATTGCTATTTACCCAACAGAGATGAGAGGTGATTTGTGTATATGTTCCAGTTAAATTTGGCAGATAACCAGTGGAACAGCTCAGAAGGGACAGGAGAGAAAGAAGAGGCCTTTGATGTATGTCAGCCTGGAGGAGGTCTGACTCTCTGTCCTGCTCAGGCTGCTAAGCTTGGGACTTGTTTTGACAGTGAAGAGCTCTGGGCCTGTGTAAGCCGGATTGGTGACTCTGGACACAGGGAGGTCAGGTGTCTTGTCAGGTCTCTGCTTTGAGGTGAGTGTGAGGTCACTGGGAAACTGCAGGGGGCAACAACAGACCTTGAAGACTGTCATTAGAAGAGCCTTGCTCAGCTGAACAAGGACAGTTCAATTCTTCAAAGCTCGGAGGAATGCTTAAGGAATCTGGCTAGCAGGAGCTAGTTGTGATGTAAAGACAGAACAACTAAGCCAACTGCTCTAGTTTTTTAGATAAATATATTCATAAGGTTCAGACTGGAAGTTGAGGTTATTTCAGATAGCTGTGTTTGACTGCATTCCTTGGTCACCAAGGTTCTGCTTGACTTAGACAAAACCAGCATACTATTTCCTGAAAAATCACAAAGGCAATCTATTCAAACAGGACAGGACAAAGGAGCACTGAGTTTGGGATCTGAGCTGGGTGGTTAGTATTTTGGTGATGATATTTGAAAGATGGCACCCTCTGCACAAAGAGGAGAGGGTGCCTGCAGGTTCTCAACTCCTGGAGCTGTCTCAGTGATGGTGAGGCTGCCCTGGAGGAGGGAGGCCTTTCCAGGGAAGAGGGAGAGCAGTATTGGATCTAAATCCCCATGCCTGACAGAGTCGTATTTCTGCGAGTAGTGAGTTGTCTCACTCTCCCTTTTGTTTTAACCCCCTTCTTATTTATTTCACATTAGGATATTAAAATGTCCGTCAGTCTTTATTTTGTAAATGGTTATGTTAATATTCCCCTGCACAGGTGTGCCAATATTTATTTGATCTTTTACAAACAGTGCTTCAGTGGCTAACCCAGCTTTGTTTTAAGTACTAACTGTGAGTAGATTCATTTCAGTTCTGGGAAATGCAATTACTGAGCCCCAAGTATTTTGATAAGTAGTCAGACAGCAGCTTTTGAAATCCAGTGTTTAGTGTTTGCCATATCTCTTCGTCCCCTTGCTCCTCTCTCTAGTGTCCTCTTGCCCTTTGCTTGTTTCACCTCGGGACTGACTTGTCTTGGAAACGTGGAGAAGACCTGGTGTTCTTCACTTGTAACCTGAACTTTCTGGTTATAAACCATGTTTGGGGCTGAGGAGGTGGCTTCTTGGGTGACATGCTTGCCAAAAAGCATCTGCAGCAGCCACACAGAGGCAGGCATGCTGGCACAGGCCTACAGTCTCAGCACAGGGAGGCTTCAAAGGTTCGCTGGCCAGTCAAGATAGCCAGTCAGTGAACTCCAGGTTCAGTGACAGACCCTGCCTCAAAACAGAGTGGACAGTAGAGGAAGACACTTAAGGTCAACCTCTGGCCTCCACATCTACACATAGTGATGCGTACAGAGGCCACCTCCTCACGCACAGCACCTGACTTACGTCTTCCTAGTGGAGTCTTGTCAGCCCTGTGTGCACCACAAGCATGGAGAAGCTGCAGATCACAGTGCCACAGTACTAAGGAGTCAGACAGAACAGCATTGTCCCACACTCTCACTTTGCTTTCTGGCAGGGTGGCATTCTGTAAATATTTCTGTCATTACACTCCTACCATTCTCAGGCCCAAGTGATAAGGAGCTGGCATTTACAAGTATTTGGGGCCTTACCATCATTTCTTCTAGAAATTCAGACTCAGGCGTTGCTCTCACTGGACTGTGACCATGAGACTTTCTGACCATAGTAGAATTTTGTATATACATTTATTGTAGCCATATACAATTTGGATCTAGATTTTAAGACTGGTATAATATTTTTTAGTGTCTTAACCAGGGACTAGAATAATATAGTCAGTGAGCTAAATCCAATCTTATGTCTGGTGGTTTCTTTTTCTTTTCTGTCCCTAAGCTGAGAATGGCTTTTATATTTTAAAAGCATTTAAAATTTTTTATTGTTTATTTTATGTGTGTGTGGGGTGTGTGTGTGTGTGAACGTTCAGGTTATATGTGTGTTTAGCTGTTTGTGTAGTGTCTGTGTATGTTCATATGTGTACAGATACAAATGCACCTGTGTATATGTGCACATGGTGGCCAGAGAACAAAATTGTTCTTGTCACCTTATTTTCTGAGAGAGGGTCTCTTACTGAACCTTGAGCTAGACTGGCTGGCCACAGAGCTCCAGGGATCTGTCCGACTCTGCCTCCACTTGCTTGCCTTACCCCAGAGCTGGGGTTATAGATGCATGTTGTGACTCTCAGCCTTTTACATGGGTGCCTCTGGACTTAAGTCTTTGTGATTGTGCCTACTTTTACCTACTGAGCCATCTCCCCAGCCCCAGATTTACATTTGTAATGGATTTTTAATTAAATTAAATTAAATTTAATTTTAATGGGTATGGGTGTTTTTGCCTACATGTGTCTGTGTACCACGTATTGTGCCTGGTGCCTATGCAGGCCAGAAGAGGACATCAAATCCCCTGGAATTGGAGTTACAGACAGTTGTGAGCTGCACTGTGGGTACTGGGAATTGAACCTGAGTCCTCTGGAAGAGCAACTAGTTCAGATGAACAGTTGAGCCATTTCTCTA